ATTGTGTCAAATTAACACATGATGTGAGTAGAAGTAAAACAACGATGCCATAGCCATACTTGAAAGCGGATGGAATTAATTTTATTTTCAATTCATGAGACTAAAACGATAATTTACATATTAGTTACAAACCAGCAGAATATCAACACCTAAAAACGCTGGCTGCCGGTATATGTTGTTTGTAGTGTGCAAATTTGCAAAAGCAATTTGATCTTACAAAAATGAACCCATGGTCAATTTTAAAGCATAAAATGACTTTAAATCATGTTGCAAATAGCATTTCCGAAGACAATATTTGGTTTGTATCTTGTGGTCAAAATTGCGGCTGGTTTATAATTGATTACATGGCTCTACTGTGAGTAATTGTAATAATTATTTGGATCAGCGCCATCTAGCGTTTCGGATTTTTGAACTAAAAAGTGGCCTCTAAAATTCTGAAACCGAGCATAAGGGCGTAGAGCCATTTAATCCATTATAAACCAGCCGCAACTCATCTTGTAGCAATAAAATGAAAAAATAACTATACCCCTGTTTTTGGCGGCAAGTTACAAACTATTTTCAACTCGAAAATTTATCTTTTAAAGTATAAATTCATATAAGATCGTTTTTTTAGTACAAAACAGATTGTTTACTTGCCGCCAAAAACAGGTGTATAGTTATTTTTTCATTTTATAGCTAAAAAATGCGTTGCGGCTGGTTTATAATTGATTAAATGGCTCTACGCGCTAAAGCTCGGTTTCAAAAGTTTAGAGGCCACTTTTGGCGAAAAAATGAAGACCGCTAGATGGCGCTGATCAAAATAATTATTACAACTTGCAATAGAGCCATATAATAAACCAGCCGCAACTAATTTGATGAATAGAAAATAATGAGATAACATTTTCTGTGCCATTTGCGGCAAGTTTGTAATATATCTTTTATCCAAAAAAAATCGACCATATTTACAAAACTGCAATATTTTAGACCTTTTAACATTAACTCATGGAAGCATAGCCTTTCAACTTTATAGTTCGAATAAACAGTTAACTTATATTATATGTACATAGCAACATTTAGCTATGTTAATCAATAAAAATTAGCTAGAACATGACAAATTGCTTTACTTTTTCGTATACTTTATTTCTCCCTTTTTTGCATGTATATTTGAATATTATTCAACTTAAACCTTATCAGTATCTTGGTATTTTACTAACAAACGATATATTATTTAACTGCAAAATTAGGTAATCCTACAGAAGATCGTTAGCTTAAAAGAAGTCAAACAATGTCAACATTTTTTTGTTGTTTTAACACGATTGTATTTGTTATTTAGCTGTTTAAAGAATCGCAGCAAGCGTATACAATAAATTTATCTGTTAATAGATTGCCGAAGTAGCATATACTAAACAAACGTTAATTATTTGCTAATATTACACGTGTATCAAAATAAAATAGTTAGTTTGGCATACTAATATATTTGACATACTCATAAAGTATCATGTCAGAGATATCTATTTTTATATTTCCTCCATTTATTGAAAAAGTTGTTGCTAAGTATCTGTGATTGTTGGTTGAAAAGGTACTTGGTGCATATTTAATTTTTAATGTTTTTTGTACATCGATATTATACAATCGAGTATACAATAGTCCGTCAACAGCAAGAAATATTGAAAATATCTTTATATTTATTATTCTACTCAAATGTTGTCAATGCTTAAAAAGTTATAGGTAAAAGGTCTAAAATATTGTAGTTTTGTAAATATGGTCGATTTCATAAGCCATATAAGATAAGTAGAATATTTATGATTTCGGAGATCGATTTTTGGGTAGAAAGTAATTTGTAAACTTGCCGCAAAAAACGCATTGAATGGTAACTTATTATTTTCTATTCATTAAATTAGTTGCGGCTGGTTTATTATATGGCTTTATTGTAAGTTGTAATAATTATTTTGATCAGCGCCATCTAGCGGTATTCATTTTTTCGCCAAAAGTGGCCTCTAAACTTTTGAAACCGAGCTTAAGGGCGTAGAGCCATTTAGTCAATTATAAACTAGCCGCAACTCATTTTGTAGCTATAAAATGAAAAAATAACTATATACCTGTTTTTAGCGGCAAGTTACAAACTATTTTTAACTCGAAAATTTATCTTTTAAAGTATAAATTCATATAAGATCGTTTTTTTAGTACAAAATAGATTGTTTACTAGCCGCCAAAAACAGGTGTATAGTTATTTTTTTATTTTATAGCTACAAGATGAGTTGCGGCTGGTTTATAATTGACTAAATGGCTCTACGCGCTAAAGCTCGGTTTCAGAATTTTAGAGGCCACTTTTGGCGAAAAAATGATGACCGCTAGATGGCGCTGATCAAAACAATTGTTACAACTTACAATTAAGCTACATAATAANTCTTTAAAAATTTTTCAATTAATATCCATTTTAAAGAACAATGCGTAAAGAATCGTATTTTACGGGGTTTGCTTTTTCCAATCGCATTTGGCTCGGGTAAGAAAATATACACGTTTTCGTACGTACGCTGTGGGATCAACCTGCACTACACCGGTTTTTTATAGTTTTTTTTCAAGCGTCTGAATAATAATTTTAGCATTTTTTTTCTCTTGCAAAAATATAAAGCATACTCCTGTTGATTCCAACTAAATAACATACTTTTTGTTAAACGAAAATGTGTGTCAAATTTAATTACACAGGGAATTTCATGTAGAAGTTTATCCAATTAAATAATTCAATTGTAATGATCAATTAAAGTCGATCAAAAAAAAAGAAAAAATAAATTTTAATCGTAAGTTACAGTCAATCACATGAAAAAAATTAAATCCCGATCGTTAATCAAAGTCAAATAAATTAAGAATTAAATTATCTCAAGTCTCTCCTGTGAAAGACCAAATTTTTTTATATTCGAATAGGGTTAATCCAATTACATCATATCGACTTTTATCCTAATTTTATCGTCAAATAATTAAATTTTATCAATGAAATGGTAAATCAAAGTATTTACAGCCACTCACTATTTGCGGCACTGGTACGGCAATCGGATGATGAACGGCTACTGGTATCGGAATGTGATGGGGAATCTGAAACAATCGATCTACCAATTAAATACTTTCATTGGGTAAATCATAACCACGTAGTTATGAACTTTATACAATTGGCTAACAAATTTTCTTACTATAGAAATGAACATTTTGTCATAATCATCATCACTAATGATAAACCAGACGCGTGATACTATTGTTATAAATAAATGGTAGTAATTTTTTAATGTAATACTTGAGTGATAAAACAAATTAAGTTCAGACCTGGACAGGGATACTTGCTAAATTTTTTTGAAATGATTTTTCAAGAAAAGTGATCTATTCATATTAAAAGAGTTTTCTTTCTATTAATATTCAAAGCACAAAATTTAACGATAAATTGTTTGGAAAAAACAATGAAGAAAATAACTATTTCAATACATTATTCCAAAATGCCTTACAACAAACCGTAACACGTAAGATTTATTTCAAGAAAAAAATCGTTTCTTTACATTTGTCTTGTAAATAGTGATGAACAAAAGATTTTCCCAGCAAAATAAAAACGTGCTCTATTTGGAGAAAAATAAATTCATATTCAATTTTTTATAACCCATGTAAAATAATCGCGTCCAAGTCTGAAATATCATTCGAAGCATTTTGTTTTCCCCCAGATCCACATGGATTTCGTTGCGTTAGTTTCCCACAAGCCAAAGTTCAACGACAGTCGAGAAAAAAAGCACCTGGACGGGATAGGGAACAGGAATCTTGACGGCCACAGTTTTGGTGATCCTAACGACCCTCGTCGGAAGCTCGTCCAGTTTGACCGACTGCGAGATAAGCTTGGGCCGTATCGGATAGACGGGCTCGTCCTCGAACTCCGCCGGGAACTCCGAGGCCTCGGCTCCCCCAATCGCGACCAACACCAACTGGAAAACACGTTATACGATCGGTTTCGTTAATAATCCGCTGAATTTCCTCCAAACACGTATATGTCTCCCTTACGATGATCAACATCCTTCACGAGGCAAATGTCAGCGACTATCGCGGCTAGTGGGAGCACGCGGTGTTTATATACCGATCCCGGCAAAAGAAAGCCCGATTGCTTCCGAATCGCCGCGTCCTTTTTTTTTTTTTTTCCTTCGGGGCGAGTAAAAGTGCGAGTTCGTCGAACCCGGAGAGGAGAGGATCACCGATCGGTCCTTCTTCGTGGGAGTCCGAGATTCAGGGTGTCAGGGACGCGCGCGGCTGTCCAAGGGCCCTTAATGAGTTCGCGATTTATTCCTCGTCTCTCTCTCCGTGACGTATGGGCTTGACGTGTGCTCCCTCCGACACGGCCAAGGGCTAATGGGGCTTTAAAGGTCTTGTGATCCTCTACGAGTGTACAGGTTGAACGCGGAATCTCGCGGAGCTGGCCCGGAGTCTTGAAAAATCGGTAGAGCGATCGCCAAGGGATTGTCTCCGATAAAACACGGGGCATTTTTATCATATGCATAAGCCATCAGGGAGTACTTAAGATTTCTGATGAGTCGAAAAGTTTTGATGGATCGGTAGTGTTCCGGAGTATCAGTCCGACGAACCGATCTCCGATCGCCCGCGGACAATAGGTGGAGTTTTTTTCACTTTAAGTAGCGGCTGAAGGAAAATGAAAAAGCAAGTCGGTGGGGAAAGAGACGAGAAATGGGGACAATAATTGGGTGAACGGCTTCCGCGTGCTATTGTGTTGGAACTCGGGTGTGTTTCCGGTTACTTTTGGCGAAAGTATACATGGCTCTCCTTGTTGTTGACGATGATTGACGGGCGTAATGCTCGTTTGGGTGGATACACGAGGGAAAGCACTTTGATTGTTTTTGGTACAGATGAGATTTTATCGATTTTTAATGCATGCGGATGTAATGTATTTTTCTATAGGATCGTTGATCAGAGTTTACTGTCAAAATGGTTTACGTACGGTTGTTGCTTTTTTTTTTTTTTTTTTTTTTTAAAAAAAAAATAATGATTACTTGGAATCGAGTTTCCTACGTTAATTATCCAATGTAGAGGATTGTTGTCGAAAATCAGTAAAAGTACCTTTTTTTTACGTACTTACAAGTAGAACCAAGTACTTTAGGATAAATTTTTTTTGTGTATGATTTAATTATACACAAATAGAACAAATGGGTAATGAATTTTTTTTAACTTTTCAAACTTTCAATCATTCATTAGCGCCAAGTTTCGACGATTCAGTTGAAATGATAATTTTTTGTTGATCGGTTGAAAAAATTAGATCCAACTAAACAATTACCGATCGGCAAGTGGTGGGTGTGGACACAAGCATCGATCGATAAACTTTTACTGAAATTGGAGGGAAAAAAAAAAAAAAAAAAAAAAACTTGTTCGTAACAAAGAAGCTACTTAATCGAGCTCGGCCACTTGTTTACATTCTTTCTGTTCCCTGAATTCCCTCTGTGCTGGCTTTCACCACTTGCTGGGCGCGCAAAGCTTAAATGAACCAAGTGGTCTCTCCCCGACAAACTGGATGAAGCAATAAAATTGCTTCTTTTCCCTTTTATTTCTCTCTCTCTCTCTCTTTTTTTTGCAGCTTTTGCGGCACAAGTTCAATGACTGTCTTTGCAGGAGTGTTAATGAGCACTCGAAGAAATCGCGATTGAAGGTGGCGTTTGAGTAAAAAAATTTACCGGACTGTTGTTTCGTTGGTGTGTACGTGATAGACACGCCAAGAAGGTGAAAATGGTTGGGTAATAACGACTTCATGTAATTTTTACGTATTTTTATTGAACAAACACTGCTGAAACATATACATATATAAAGTTATATAAGTGGGTATGGATTTTGAAATAAAAAAAATTGGATCAAGTTTACAGATACACAGGACTTTTTCCTCTTCCTTTTTTTCTTCTTCTTTTTCTTTCATTCAACATACTACTTATAATAATCTACATATAATTTGCGTTCGACTTATGGTAAGTAAATCTATTTGCTTCACTTATTTCATACTATTTCATTTTTCCATATCATTCACACAGTACGCATAAAGGTACAGCAGATGTGAAAATTGAGAAAAATTGATGATTGAACTAATTTTTGTCTCCTCTATCCAACTTTGGTACAACAATGAACAGGGTATAATTCAATTCGTTACGTTCTTTCAACAAATTATTCATGTTTAAGGCAAAAAACAACACAACATAGATTTCCAATTTAAAAAATGTATCATTCGCGATTAATAACAAGCTCTCAAAAGCCTGTACAATCGTTTCATAAAGCACACGAGCACGTATGTACACAATTTACATTGCAATTTCTTTCTACTATCTTTCGTGTCTTAAATTAGAGATTAATAATGATTTTTTTAGCCAGCTAATTGAGAGTGTAGACTATCATATATGGCCAGAATTGTAGCTCCTACTTCCCTAGAGAATTAAGTGACCAAGTTTTTGTTTGGTACATGAAGCCCCATAAATGCTGGTTCCACCCCACTCGACTTTAATAAACGAAAGCTCAATTTTCTGACGTAATGTAAAAAATTATTTGTATGTAGGATAACCTACGTACGCATGGTTTTATCATAAATGTCAACTACTCAATCCTTCTTGGAGCCTTGTATCGACGATCATAATTATGCTGGTCGATTTTTTTTCTATTGAAAAAATCACTGTAAAATTGTAATTGCTCGTCGACTGTCGTAACGTAGATATCCATACTATGCGTGTTTCCGAATTGAAACTATAGTTAACTCGACAATTAATTATGGAATATCAAATTCACCGATAATAAAGTTTCCATTACAGAATAATGTCACGATGGTGATATCGTACCAGCTCTTTGTAAAAGATCGATGTCCATTACTTGAAAAAAAATCTAAGAAAAAATTAAACCCTAGTTGTATAAAAAAATTTTCAATTTTATTAACAAATTAACAGTCTTAAATAATCAAACTTTAATTACATTTTAGTTCTTCTCTTCTTTTTTCTCACCCTCGGGCTGTTCTTGCGATTGTTGCTGTTGCTGGTTTCCTTCACGTTCAGAAGCCATCTGCGAAAAAATGATGTCAATCCATTAATTTTCCACAAACACATTTTGTTAACATAAGATCTTATAATTCTTAACTTAACATAGTTCTAGGAAAACAAAATGATTAATGCATGATAAATATACTCAGTCAAATGTGTCCACACATGTTACATAATTGTATGTAACTTTGAGAGACGAAAAATATGAACATCATTGTATTTAAATGTTATTATAAGATATGTCTAAATTGCTAAGATAATTAATCATACCTTCTTGTACGCCATCTCAAAGAGTTTCAAGCTTGCTTGTTGAAGTTCGTTCGTTTGTTTTTTAATTTCTTCGGGGTCCATATCGTCTTTCTTGGCCAAGGTTTCCTTCATCTTTGCAACAAGTTCTCTCAATTTGTCGCACTAAAAATAAAAACATACGACAATAAATATAAATCAACAAGATACGATAACAATCGTTGTTTACAAAGAAATTTTTATGAAAAATACCTCTTCTTGAGGCAGCTGCGATTTGAACTCTTCCATCTTGGCTTCAGTGTCGTGAACAATACCCTCGGCCTGGTTGACGGCCTCAACACGTTCCTTCTTGATTCTGTCTTCCTTAGCATACTGTTCGGCATTCTTGACCATGTTTTCAATTTCATCTTTGCTCAAACCACCACTGGATTGAATGACAACTAGAAAAATACACATTAGTTGAAAATATGAAATTGACTGATTTTTTTTTTTTTAGAACTACTTCATGGTGAACATTAATGACTAAATTTTACCGCCACAGTAAATCAAAGGAAGGACGACTTACTTTGTTGTTCTTTTCCAGTGCCCTTGTCCCGGGCAGACACGTGTACAATACCGTTGGCATCTATGTCGAATGTAACTTCTATCTGTGGAACACCACGCGGCGCAGGTGGGATACCAACGAGTGTGAACTGTCCCAAAAGCTTATTGTCTGAGGCCATTTCACGCTCACCCTGGTGCACCTTAATTTCCACCTGAGTCTGACCATCAGCAGCTGTAGAAAATACCTGACTCTTTTTTGTGGGAATGGTTGTGTTTCGTGTGATCAACCTCGTGAAGACACCACCGAGAGTTTCAATTCCTACAAAAACAAATTTTTAATTTTAATGTTTATGAAGAAAATTCGAGGTTAATTTTCAAAATTTGAAGTTGTTTAAATTAATTGCTCAGACAGAGTAATTGTCAACCTGTTTGGTTCAGAGAGAAGATTAGACGTACATCATGGCGAATACATTATTATAAAATTATCTTTTAACGCACAATAAAAGAATCAACAGAATGTATGAAGTACGTCAACACTGACTTTCAAGACAGACACCAAACAAAAATACACACCCAAGGAAAGTGGAGTGACATCAAGCAGCAACACATCGGTAACGTCGCCAGCCAAAACTCCACCCTGAATAGCAGCACCAACTGCAACAGCTTCGTCAGGGTTGACGGCTCTGGATGGCTGTCTACCAAAGATCTCCTGTACCGTCTGTTGCACCTTGGGCATACGGGTCATACCACCAACCAAAAGGACGTCGCCAATCTCGGACTTGGACACCTCGGCATCGCCGAGAGCCTTCTGGCAGGGCTGAATTGTGCGCTTAATAAGGTCGCCAACGAGGGACTCGAATTTGCTGCGCGAAAGTTTGAGGTTCAAGTGCTTGGGACCACTGGCGTCCATTGTGAGATAGGGCAGATTAATGTCTGTTTGCTGGGAACTGGACAGTTCAATCTTTGCCTTTTCAGCGGCTTCCTTCAGACGTTGCATTGCCATGGCATCTTTGGTTACATCGATACCTTGCTGTGGTCAAAAATTTTCAAAATTGATTACTGTCAGCACGATTGCGCTTGTTTATTTTATTCAAGATGATCTCTTACCTCCTTCTTGAATTCACTGGCGAGGTAATTGACAAGCGAGTTATCGAAATCTTCACCACCCAAGAAAGTGTCTCCATTGGTGGACTTTACCTCAAACACTCCCTTTTGAATTTCAAGAATGGAAATATCAAAGGTTCCACCACCTAAATCGTATACAGCGATGCTAAGAATCAAAAAACAAATAAATTAGATGAAATTACGATTTTCGTAAGACAAATTTATGTGATTTCAACAATCTTACATTTTGTCTTCAGTTTTGTCCATGCCGTAGGCAAGTGCAGCCGCAGTAGGTTCGTTGATGACTCGAAGCACGTTCAGACCGGAGATTTGTCCAGCGTCTTTTGTAGCTTGTCTTTGGGAATCGTTAAAGTAGGCGGGCACAGTGATAACGGCATTTTTCACTGGCGTATTGAGGTAACTTTCGGCGGTCTCCTTCATCTTCATCAAAACAAAAGCACCAATCTGACTGGGTGAGTACATCTTGCCGTCTGTGCTCTGGATCCACGCATCACCGTTAGATGCTTTGACGATTTTGTAGGACACTGTCTTCATGTCTTTCTTAACTTCAGGATCTTCAAACTTTCTGCCAATGAGACGTTTGGTAGCATAAAACGTGTTTGCCGAGTTAGTGACTGCCTGTCGTTTTGCTGGCATGCCGACAAGCCGTTCTCCATCTACAGATACAATTTTTTAATTATAGGCACTATTTCAACTTTGAAAATTATTGTTAAAATAATAATAATAATGATTAATCTTCATATTGTGGAGTATGCAGCAAACCTTTCGTGAAGGCAACGTAGGATGGTGTTGTTCTGGAACCCTCGGCATTTTCAATAACTTTTGGCTGCTTTCCTTCCATGACAGCAACACATGAAAACGTCGTTCCAAGATCAATACCAACAACTGCTCCCTTGACCCCCTCGGATCTACAAATTATCACAATACACGTATATGAATTATATTAATTGAAAATGCATACTATAATACAAAGTTTGTAACTTTAAAATATGATAAATAAATTTTGTATTCTTAGTATCACACGACATAACCTTGAATTCAAAATATTTATCATAAGAGCTGCAGTAGCGTGAAATGACGTAAGTGTTACCCAGAATTGCACAACTTTAACAAAAAAAATGTGTAATTTAAAAAAAAAAAAAAAAGAAGATTTACTACTTACTTGAACCTGTACTGTTGGAAGTCATTACGATGTGGGTAAGCAACTGTGGGCGCAGCAGCCTAAAAAATGAAAAAATGATTATATTCGGTGTATTGTTTCAATCAACACTAAACAATGAATCTCAGCTTCGAAATAATAAAAGAATTCTTCAAAGCAAAGCCTAAGGTAAATAATAACCGCTTAGTTGAGTTACACAGCAAACATGACTATGATATAACTCTTGAAAATTATTGCATCAACAGCAAACTATCGAACTTGAAAACCCTTTAATCATTTGCATCTTTGTTGATACCAGTACCAAAAAACAGACTACATATATCTTTAAGTGAAATGATAATCAATATTAGTCATAAAACCGAAAAAAATCTTTCAGCATACTCAAGTAAAACAGCAATGCAACAAAATGTAGGAATCGGTAGAAATAAGACCGAGAGCAATGTTTCGCTCCGTTTTCCGTTGCCTCATCCATTCACGAGGTAGCGTGCCGTCGATTCTCAATTATTACGTAAACAAAATACACACCCCGAATCTCCCTTCGTCAATCTACGGTTTGCACACCGCTCACCAAAATGATTGTTCCTGGATAATAATACTGAAGCAATGACCCGAAAAATTGTGTAAAAACCAGAAAAAATGAGAAAAAAGAAGTTGCATCAGTAATGCACACGCATGCCCGGCACTCGAGAGTGTGATCCTCGTATCTAACTCGCCGGCGTGAAGAACGGTCAATCAACCTGCGATAATGAAAAACTCCTTCCCGAGGAAAGTGTCATTGAAAACGCCTAGATTTTTCGTCTTGAAAGTAAAACACGTTTCCACTGACATGCACATTGAACGATTATTAACGTTTCATAGAGATGCATGCACGTGGTGGTTGGTGGTGCACTTGAAGGGGTACAAAAGGGAAGAAACATTGACAACTGCATTTGTGAAGCTAATAAAAAAATAAACTGTAAATAAAACATTTGCAATCGTACAATCAAGAGCTTGTGTCACCGTAAAAGACACTCGGTGAAGCCAAGACCGGATCTCTTTGCTTAGGTTAAAACGCTCTCATCACTCTCAACTTAACCCCTCTGTCTCTACATTGCAGGACGACTCGAAAAGGAGTGAAAAAAAAAATCGTGAATACACGCGAAAACTAACGGGAAACGCACGGGATTTAAAGAAAAAGTAATTGTAATGAAAAACGATGCACTCACATTTTTAATGATTGTGGTGAACTGCTGGTGTCTGCGGGCAACCTCGCAGCCAGTACCAGCTCCGCGGCTCAGGATCCTCGCTGCTGCAAGCATGTTGATCGGCTCGTTTCGACTCTGTTCTTTATTTCTTTTCGTAGCAAAATACTTATCAAACAATAGCTGTACAATTGTTTAAAACAACACCTTGGAAAGTTGCAATCCCGGCGAGAGAGCGAACAACGCAACGCTTTATATATATACACGGTATTACACACGCGCACTGCGCACACGCGAGACGAAAATGTCACACGCCGAATGCAGAAGATCGCTGTAGACTTAATCTGCTATATACGAAGATACGAACGACTCAATGAAATGTGCATGGTTTGTGTGATGCAACTCCGGTAAAGTGAGGGGTGCGGTATTTAACCAATGAGACATGAGGTTCAGAAGAAGTGGCGAATAAGATCAATGGAGTGGCTACAGTGCTGCAGTTGGACTCCAGAATCCGGAATGTTCGATAAGATTAGGTTAGTCAAGCTAAAATCTTTAACAATTCAAAAGATAAAAATACTACGAATGATGATTGTAGCCTTAGTATTGCGCCTTATAATGTTGCAAGGTAACAAATAAAATATCAGTCATGGCGAGATTTTATTAGCTCGACGACTAAATTTTGGGTGAGAGGCCATGAGCTGCGCAAGTTTACCCGCAACTTCCGGGTCGTTTCAATGCCTCCTATGCTAATAGTTTACATGGAAAATGATGCAATATTTTTTCCTCCGTGGCCAGGAAATTTTGAGAGAGAAGGCCGCTATACCAGAGCTTTAGCGCGTAGAGCCAATAAGTCAATTATAAACCAGCCGCAACTCATCTTGTAGCAATAAAATAAATAAATAACGATACACGTGTTTTTGGCGGCAAGTTAAAAATCTATCTTAAACTCAAAAATTTATCTTTAAAAGTATAAATACATAGAAGGTTGATTTTTTTGTAAAAAATAGATTGTTAACTTGCCGCCAAAAACACATGTATCGTTATTTTTTCATTTTATAGCTACAAGATAAGTTGCGGCTGGTTTATAATTGACTAAATGGCTCTAAGC